CAATCATCATTTTCCAAGTGCTTAAGGTGCGTAGCGTACAACATTCATTATCCTTTATTATGTGTTTTGAAGTTGTTTGAAGATGAGAAGAGAAAGACACTCTTAAGGGAGACTAAGACTCAACCTAATGTTCTCATACAAAATTCACCTATGATTGGGATGAAAGGGAATGCTACCTAATGTTATCATGCATGGGTTCAAGCCTAAGGTCTATCATAATCATCTCTTGAACAAGAGAGATTAGAGGTCCTAAGAGAACATGGCAAAGAAGAAAGAAAAAAAAGAAAGAAACATAAAATGAGAAAGATGCAAGTATGCAAACATATAATGCACAATTAGGATGAAAGTGAGGGAGGAACAAAGTGTGGGGCAGAAGCCGCCACAAGCACATCTCAACCTCAAGCATGCATATGAGAAGATGCAAAAACAAAAAGGAAATGCAAGAAGGCAAGCAAACATGAAAATGCAAGCACATCATCACTTTGAACAACAACTACGAAAGTGTGCATTCAAGTGGAAACCAAACACGCGTGTCGAAGCAATCATGATTAAACAATCAAGAACAGTGGCATATATCCAAAACATTTCACTCCTAATGCATCATATTGATCTATGAATATTCGAAGTGAAACGGTATCAAACCAAGCATGAAAAATAGCAAAACAGGCCTGTTGGCACAGTGTTAATCGATTAACACCAGGGGTTAATCGGTTAACCATTAAAAAACGCTTGAAATTTTGAATATTTGAATTGGTTAATCGATTAACCTCAGGGGTTAACCGATTAACACTGTACTAACAACAGAAAACAGCAGCAGAACCGCAATTTCAGCACATAAGCACTTATCCAATCATTTAGATGATCACATAATCACTTAAGCACGAATTTAAACCAGCAATCAGTGATTCAATCAGCATGTAAACACATCCACACATCAAGATTACAAATCACATGGATCAAAATGAATCAAATAAATCAAAAATGAAGATCGACATGCTAATTATGCAAATAAGTTCAAAAACATAATCGGATCGAGAATTTCCAACCTACGAAGCGGAGAATTGCTTCGGTTAGTGTTGATTCACTGGAAATAAGTAGATCGAAGCAAGAAACTCGAAGATCCTTCAAGATCCAAGTGTGTTCTTATTGTAGGAGTGAAGATCAACTAAAATTAAGCAAATCCACTCAAATAAGCTACTCCAAAGCAACTCCAAAATTCAGATCCAAACATGCACGGAAATTGAATGGAAAAATGGAGATGATGATGATCAAGGACGAAGGTTTAGCTCTTAGAAATCAATGATTCCAATGGAGAATCAAGGATTTCAATGTGAGAAGAGCTTTGGTGAGGGTTTTGGAAGTGGAAAGTTGAGAGCAAAATTGAGAAAATGAGAGTGAATTCTAAAATGAAATGGAAATTATGTGGATTAGATGTGCGAGGTTTGGAGTGAATCATTTAAGTACCCCTTAGGTTAGGGATCCAAATGAGGCTTGGAGTGTGGTTTGTGAAAATTGGTTTGGAAATAGGAGTGAGAATTTGGAGGGAAATTGAAATGATTTGAAAACCAACCAAATTTTGAAGTGGTTCTAGATCCTTCCTCTGGTTTAAAATCAATTCACAAGTGATCAAAATTGGACCCCAAAGTGGTTTAGCTTGAAAAATCACGTACATAGCTGAAAATTACACTGGTTAATCGATTAACCATATAGGTTAATCGATTAACACCCTCAAAACTTCCTATTTAACCTGATTTTGACTTGGTTAATCGGTTAACCATATTGGTTAATCGATTAACACCTTAAAATTTTTGAATTTAGCGCCTTTTGGAGGGAAACCTGCACAATTGCTCGTTTTCAATAGTCCTGAGTTCTGTGCAACTTCTGAAACTTGCTTTTGAATATTATGACCATGAAAATGCTTGCAATAGCTTGAATGCTGCTTCCTGCACTGAAAATAACCTGCAACACAAAATAAAATCGACCACTCGATCGTCGGGCAAAATAGATGTCGGAGCCTCTGATGCTCGCTGTTCAGTCTCTTGCAATAAAAGAGAACTCTGCATCACAGGAAAACCTTGATCCCCTGTCTCAAGAACGAATGCTATGCAAATGTTGAAATGCAAAAATGCAAAGAAACAAAAGCCAAGTACGAAAACCGGTTGGTCAAATTTTGGGGTACAACAACCGATTACCCAATATGTGATAACCGGTTACCACATCCAAAAAATGCCAATTTTGGCGCCAAATATAGGGAAACTTGCGTAATCATTCGTTGCCATCTGTTTTGAGCTATGTTAAGCCTCTAAAATTTTCCCTTGGATATTATAACTGTGAGAATGCCCGAGATAGCTTGTACACCGTCTCATGAGCTGGAATTAACCTGCTGAATAAAATAAAATCGACTGCTCGATCGCTGGACGAAATAAATGTTGGAGCCTCTGATGCTCACTATTTAAACTCTTGCAACAAAAGGGAACCTTGAGCCACAGAAATACCTTGATCCAATGTCTCGAGAACCAATGTTATGATATGCAAAAAAAATGCAAAAATGCAGAGAAACAAAAGTCAAGTCAGTAAACCAAAAAGCGATGAGGCAAATTTTTGGGTGCTACAAAGTTGAATCCCAAAGGAGAAGTAACTCGACACAAACAAGACTTGTGGCGAAATGATTTCTTCAAAAAGAAGAAATTGACTTCGACGAAGTTTTTGCACCTGTTGCTAAAATCGAAACAATCAGGTTGGTTGTTGGTTTAGCAAACATGAACAATTTACACATATGTCAGATGGATGTGAAATGTGTATTCTTGAATGGCCCCTTAGATGAAAAAGTTTATGTTGCATAACTAGTTGAGTTTGTTTAACAAGGCGAATAAAGAAAGGTGTACAAGCTACATAAAGCCATGTATGAACTTAAGGAAGCTCCAAGAGATTGAAATTAGAAGATAGATAGCTTTCTAAGGGAGAAGGAGTTTGTAAAGTGCACAACTGAGTATTTAGTATATGTAAGAAGAAGTAATAGTAAATTGCTTATATTGTGTCTCTATGTCGATGACTTGTTGATAACAGGAAGTTGCAAGAAGGAGATCGAAGATTTCAAACATGATCTAAGTGAGAAGTTTGCAATGTCAGACTTGGAAAATCTCCCGTACTTCCTTGGCATTGAGTTCTACAAGAGTAGTTGAGGCTTGATGATGCATCAAAGAAGATATGCAAGTTAAATACTCAAGAGACTTGAGATGCAAGATTGCAACCCAACTTCGACTCCACTTGAGTCCAGAATGCAACTGTCGAAAGACACGGATGAAGATGACGTTGATCCAATGTTGTACAGAAGACTCATTGGATCACTTTGATACCTTTGCCACACAAGGTATGATCTAGCATATAGTGTAGGTATGGTGAGTAGATTCATGCAGAAGTCAAAGGTATCACATCTAGCAGCGACGGAGAGGATACTAAGGTATTCGAAAGGAATTCTCGGCTATGGCATTTTATTTCCTGCAGCTAATGAAGGAAAAGAATGCAAATTAGTGGGATACACCGACTCAAGTTGGTGTAGTGATGTTGATGATAGAAAATCCACAGCTAGTTATGTGTTTATGTTAGGTGGTGCGCCAATTGCTTGGAGTTCAAAAAAGGAACCAGTGGTGACATTATCATCATGTGAAGCAAGATACATAATTGTTTCTCTTTGTGCATGTCAAGCAACATAGATGGTGAATCTGGTCGAAAAGGTTACAGGGAAGGATCATGGAGTAATTACCATGAAGATCGACAACATGCATGCTATCAATCTAGTGAAAATTTTGATATCACATGGACAAAGAAATTACATCGAACTGAGGTTTCATTATCTTTGAGAGGAAGTAGCAGGTGTAAAGATGAACTTGAAACACTACATAACTAAGAATCAAATTGTAGATATCATGACGAAGTGAGTGCAAGAACTAAGAACAAGAAATTTGTGTCAAAACAAGTTGCTTGACGGGGACAAGGAAGTTGTCGAAATAGCTTAGTGTGTGTGTGTGTCGAAACACCTGTTGTCGAAGTGTTGAGGAGTTAGCTTCGACACAGATATTGTCTTAAATCTAATTTTGTAGTGTTAGTAGAATTAAGTATTTTAAGTTTTTTGTATTTGAACTTTGCTTATGGAGCAAGCATGCAAAATCTATAAATAGGGAGTAACTCTATTATTGTAATGTGATTCATTTGAATAAAATTGCAGTTTTGAGAGCAGAGAGTTACTCTGCAGAAATTCTTCTTCTCTTATTTTGTATTGAATCCCTAATTTTCTTTCTTCTCAAATTCAATTTTTTTCTTGTTTTCATCACCATTATGCAACAATATATTCTCACAACTAAGGTTGGCTGATTTACTCGAGTGAAGAGTGGAGAACAAGAGAAAATTCGATCGATGTGATAGAATCTTATTCATCAAAATTAATTCGAAATTACTCAAAGTCTTGAGATTAATTCCGACAAGTCACATGAAAGTGAATATTTAATTGAATTAAATTAGAATAGATACTTTAACTATTATCTCTATTTTAAATGGGTGTCATTTTAACAATAAAATTAATTTAACAATAAATATCACTTTTTTAAAAAGAATTTTTTGAAATAAATATTTTTTGTGGAGAAAAATACCATCATAATAAATTAATTTAATAAAAGTCTCACGTCTTTTCACAATTTTAGTGTAGTCGTTTGTTTGTGAGTAATGAAATTTTTGGTGTTGGTGTTGCCAACCAAGTTGAGGTGTAAAACAAAAGTGAGAAAGAGTGAGTGTGATGATTTGATGTTGTTAGCATAGTTGGAGTTGCCGCCCGAGAGAGATGATGAACACGACAGCAATGCCGTCTTTCTTTTCTTTTCTATATATATATATATATATATATATATATATATATATAAGAAGTTATGCTTTTAAGTTTTTTGTTTATTGAGGTTTAACATACATTTTCAGACCTCTCTTGTTCAGTTGTTGTTGAGTCTTTAAACATGAATGGGAAAGCCTCCATCTCTAAAGAGCTCAACGCCAAGCACACCAAGGTCATAATTTGTTTTGTTTCATCTATGCACACATACATATTTTGTTTCTTTTTGTTCAAGTTTTGACTGCAATGCATCAGCAGATCTTGGAAGGACTTTTAAAGCTGCCTGAAAACAGGGAATGTGCTGATTGCCGGAACAAGTATATATTCATTTCACAACTCGATAATTACTTTGATTATGATATCACTAAACTATAATTAAGTAAATATGTCAGGGCTCCAAGATGGGCAAGTGTGAACCTAGGGATTTTTATTTGCATGCAATGTTCAGGGATTCACAGAAGCCTTGGAGTGCACATATCAAAGGTTTGCTTGCTTCATCACTACTTTTGTAACATATTTCACTTTATATCATTAAATTGAGCCTCCTAATTATGCAACAACCAGGTGCGGTCCACAACTTTGGATACGTGGTTGCCTGATCAAGTTTCTTTCATGCAGTGTATGAAACTACACATTCTGTTTCTTGCTTTACCACAAAATTTAAGTGATTCTTCTATGACAATAACTCTTGATTTGCATTTTATATGCAGTTATGGGTAACGACAAGTCAAATAAACACTGGGAGACGGATCTTCCACCCAATTTTGACACAAGTAGATTGGAAATTGACAAGTTTATCCGTGCCAAGTAAAACCTCCGATAGACATTTTCAAGACATTGCTTGAAACTAGATAGTTCAATTTTCATCTACTTTTTCATTTTCAAATTAAGTTTACTTGTTCATGATATTTCAGGTACGTAGAGAAAAGATGGGTTTCGAAAAATAAACTAGAATCAACTTCAAAGTTAGCTGAAAATATTGTTAACATTACTGAGTTGCCATATGGTATTCCGAAGAATAATAGAAGACTTTCTCTTGAAGAAAGCATTTTTGTAAACCACTTGGCACAAGTTTTGCCGCCTGTAACAAGATCTCGTGAGGTAACCATGTTTTTTCGCAAGTATGATCTAGTATGGGAATTTTAGTTATTTCATTTATATATTGGAAGGTTGTAGGTAGAAAGAAGGGAGCCTAAATATTTTTAACTGTAGTAGTGTAAACAACTTACAAATCTGTCTTGGTCTTGAAAAAACACTTGCAACTTAATCATCTCTACAATCCTCCAATATGCTAAGTTCTACTGTTCTCTTTCTGCATGCATTGCTTCTCTTACAATTATTTCTACATCTGGAAATAGATTCGGGGTTCGTTGGACAAGCAAAAGAAGGGTTCACCTCCATTAAAGAGACCGTCATCATCCGTTGATTTTGACAAGTCCCCAGGAAAGAGTGTTGAATTTTTCAATTTGCTTTGCATCCATGACAATAAGCAGACTTTCTCAACCATTCCTCCTTCCAGCTGGGCCACATTTGATTGTATGACAATAACCTTTCATATTATTTCTCATAATATATACAGTTACTAATTCAGTACATGTATATTTGCAGGAGGGATAGTGAATGGTGCAAGTATATAAATGATACAAGTTAGTCCTTGGTGCAGATGTCACAAGATTAGAATTGTGGATGATCTGGTGCAGATGTCACAAGATTAGAATTGTGGATGATCATGGCATGAGTATTTAGCTGCTTAGTACATTTTTTTTTGGCAATCTTGGAGAGATTTCTTTTTATTCCCCTAAACACAGAGGCTCACTGTGTCTGTAGCTCTTAAATTACTTGAGCAAGTAAAATCCAATGTTATTTGGCTATTTATACAGCATGAGTAAGTTCCTACCTACATTACAGGGTATTTTTTAGTTGTTGAGTTGCATTTTTTTATAAAGTACAATAAATGAATTAAATTAAAGCGATTATAAGGCAAATATATACATAATGATGCACAGTATCAAAAAAACATAAAAGGCATATACACACCTGCAAAGATTTACATAAAATGTATTCCTCTGGCCATCACTGGACTTTGATTCCTATGATGTACTAAGACAAGCAAGTTTTTCCTGAAGATTTGTTATTCGAGCCTGCTTAAACATGAAAAATGATTAGTGGAGTAGAATACCCCCTCATGAAATTTGTTTATGAAGTGAATAATGGTAGAGTTACTTTGCATGAAATTTGTTTATGAAGTGAATAATGGTAGAGTTACCTTGCATGAAATTTGTTTATGAAGTGAATAATGGTAGAGTTACCTTGAAAGATTTAGAACGACGGATGGAAGGATCTATATGTAAGGCTGCTAAATATGAGTGCTCTGCCAAATCAAAATTGTTGAATGCCAAAAAGGCATCACCTTGGCAGATATAAGCCTGCAAAGTCATTAATGATAAGCAAATGATGAAAACCAAAAATGTCTTGTATGAATCAAGGGATTTAGGTATACCTCAGAATAGTTGGGAGCTAATAGCAAAGCCTCCTTAGCATCTTGGAGGGCACCCGAGTAGTTGCCCAATTCCAACCTTACCGATGACCTGATTGTACTACAAGTAAGTTTAGAAACAAATTATTTTGATTTGGGATTAAAATAGAGGGTGCAAATTTAACAAACCTGCATTTAAATGTGACATGTAAGCCACCAAATGGTTTCAAATCTATAGCCTTTGAGAGCAAAACCTCAGCCTCGCCAAAGTTTTTGTTCTCAAATTCAACATCTGCCCTCTTCCTCAAAGCAAGCGCATCCAAACTAGTTTTCGAATCATCTCTTCCACCAAACATCACCTCCAAACAACGAGCAGCCGTCCCGCAGTGACCCACGATTATGCCATCGGGAAGGAACACCAGGTTGGGTCCGGCGCCGCACTTGCCCAAGCACCCGGACGACTTAACGGTGAGGTTTGGAGGAGCGATACCAGAGAGTGTTTCTAGGGTTTGAAAGGATCCTTGTTTGCGGCAAGCACGGTTGGTGCACACACGTATTTCTTGGAGCTGCTGCTCATGCGATGCTCTGGTGCGACTTCGTATTTCTTGGAGCTGCTGCTCATGCGATGCTCTGGTGCGACTTCGTTTGGGTGATGGGGCCGTCGCCACATGACAACCCACGAATAGAGTGACCATCTAACTGAAGTTCTGTTTGGTGATATACTCTACAAATGAAATAAAAAAACTGTTATTTCAAACACCTCTTATCATTGGTTTAAATAGAACCTGAGAAGAGAAACAATAATGACGGGTCCCATTACTTTCTCGCATAAATAAGATGAATTTGGACGGGTCCAAACGCTTCAGTAGATGAAATTGGATTAAAATGGTCAGACAGGATAATAAATGAAATTGGATTAAAATGGTAGGACCGGATAATAAAGACTAGATTATGGGTATCTTAACCCGCCCGAATCACACAATATAACAAAAATGTGTATATCTCACGTGGTATTACCCTGACCCTCCGGACATCACTCCATTCCACTATGTATAACTCCGGACATCACTCCATTCCACTCCAACTATGTATAACTTTGTCATTTTGAAATTTTTATGTAGTGATTTTTTTAACTTGTTCTTGTTTTTACTTATGTTTTGATCTTTATGTAACTTTTAGCATTCAGTGATGTTTTCTCTACCGCCATCGGTAGGTAAGTTAGTGAACTCAGAACATTCATGTACCAATAATAATATGTTTTAGTATATAATAATAGTTTGCTTTCAATATTGAACTAATTTCATACTTTAAATTTGATTATTTCTCAATTTGTGAAATTTTTATCCATATAACCACTTTTGTTATAATATTTTTTAATTATTTCTCAATTTGTGAAATTTTTACTCATATAACCACTTTTGTTATAATATTTTTTAAAGTAACTAATTTTCTAAACAATTTATAAAATACCCTAGTTTCAAAAAAAAATCGTTGAAGGGAGAGATTATTTGGTTTGACGACCCCTTTATGAATTAGTAGGGGACGCTATTTGTGTAGTTGTGTTGGAGTCATATTTATAAATTAGGAGGGGGCGTCATTTGAGTTGGAGTCGCCATTAAACGATTATTTTTAATAATATTTAATAAATAACATAAATAATAATTAACTATTTTATTTAATAATAAATGAGTACATAGGCAAAACATTGTACATTAATTTCTACGACTAGGTTGAGCGAAATGTCCCCCGGTACTGCATCCTCGAGTACGTAAGTTGGCTCGATGAAGCTATGTCAGGACGATAGCCTGCTTGGTCGTAAGGTGACATTGGTGTAAATGTTTGGGTGGGTAAGGTTTGATTGAGTGTTTGATACTCCATGTTAAATTGGTTTGTAGTATCATAGGAGTATGTTTGATATGGTGGTGGATTTTGTTGGTATCGGGATTGGGAAAAACTTCGTTAGAATTGGGTGGATTGGTAAGGGGTATGTTCATGGAGTTGTGGTTGTGTGAGTGGGGTTGGGTTGGGTATTAGAAATGGGGTTGGGTTGGCGGTTGGGTTCGTGATGATGAGGCTTGTTGGCGTGGGTCAACCAGATATCTAGGATGAGAAATGAAATCAATGGTAAACGACCTATACCAATTCATAATATGGTTTTTTCTCGAATGGCAACAGAGTGTCAGAAAAAACAAAATGGCAGTGATGCTTCCATTCATGACACTCATGTTTTGCAAAGTTGGTCCATGAGGAGTAGTCTCATTGGTTGGAGACTTTACTTGTGTGATATTTCTCGGGGATGCATTTTGGTGGACATGGAATATCTTGTAGCATTTTAAACCGAAGTTTGACACGATTACTGTTGTGCATTTTCACTGTAGTGAAGTAAAACAAATCTAGTACATTCTATGGATGTCTGCTCCCAACGGCTCTGTTAGTACAAAACCTCTTAAAGACTCAAAGGTTAAACATGTTACACACGAGATTCAGAATCTACTGTGCATTCATCTTCAACACCTCTTGTACTATGGAGCAAAAGCAAAGACACTTGATCAAGTCACATTCTCAACGACTAGTTTCTGGAAAGACTATATATATGACTGAAGATTCAAGTTTGAATTTTAACAAGGATTCTTCTATTGAAGGAGTAACAAGATCAAGCAATTATCAACTCTATGTAATATGCAGATTTTGTATTTTAGGTTATAATTGTAAAAGCCTTAAGATTTCTTACCTCTGTATATATTAGAAATCTTAAGTGCTTTAGGTCTTTGTTCTGGTGATTTCCTGTACCTTTGATGCTTGCATCATATAAACCTTGTTCTCTATTCTACTGAGCCTTCAGTAGTTTAGATTAAGTCTCTTGCTATGTGCTTGAGCAAAATTTCTTGTCTCATTGGGATCCAAGCAACAAGTCTTGAGCCGAGATGCTTAAGTCACGTAAGTCTCATTGCTTAAGTGTTTGAGTTGTGAAATTCTTATTCAGTTAGTTTGATTGAGTAAGTGGGAAAGTATCTGTCTAAGGGGAGAGAACAAGAAGTCTCAAGTGCAGCATGAGCAAGGGAAGTCTCAGTCTGGATGGCCATAAGAGCACGTGGCTCGGCCAGAGGATGTAAGCAAATGGAAGTCTTAGTCATGTGTTCTAAACAAAGAGAAGTCTCAACCAGAGGACAGATGAGCAGGTGGCTCAGTCAGATGGTGTGAGCAAAGGTTAAGTCTTAGACATGTGCTCTAAGCAAGAGAAGTCTCAAACAGTTGGTCTGAGCAGTTGTAAAAGTCTTATGCAGAAGCATAAGTGATTGTAATCATGAAGTGATTATAATGAAAAGCTCTTGTGAGGCAATGGGATTGGACTACTCTCAGTTAGGAGAGGAACCAGTATAAATATGTTATGTTTTCTGCTATTATTTTATTTACTTCTGTTGTATCCTCTGCCAAACAAACTAACCCAGAATCTGAACATCAGTTATATTCTGAAACTCTGATCAGAAGCTAAATTAAGAGGAAATGTGAAACACAATTCAACCTCTCTTTTGTGTACTTTTCACACCTTCAATTAGTTGTTTATGGAGTTTGGCACTGATCCAAGAAACCTTAGGTTTGGACTTTCCACTAATGGAATGAACCTCTTTGGTAATCTGAGTACTAACTAACCATTCTTCGTGGCTTGTTCTTCTCACGATTTACAACCTATCTCCTTGGTTGTGCATGAAGTGTAAGCATATGTTGTTAAGTATGATGATTTTTAGACCACGACAACTTGAAAACGACATAGATGTTTATCTAAGTCCATTAATTGAAGATTAAGAGTTTGTGGGAGGAAGGCGTTGAAGTTGATGATGCATATTCTGGTGAAAAGTTTAAGATACGTGCAATGTTATTTTACACAATCAACGACTTTCATGCATATGGTATTTTGGCTAGATATAGTGTCAAGGACACAAAGTGTGTCCTATTTGTGAATATAATACCTATTATCACCAACTTGAGTTTAGAAAAAAGACCGTTTACCTTGAGCATCATAAATTTCTAAAACTCGGTCATTCTTATCATAGATTGCAGAAGACTTTTAATGGATAGTGTGAGTTTGATATCGCTCCTAAATCTTTAACC